TTTACCACGCCACCTCGCACCGGGTCCTGCCCTCTCAGGACGTCACTTTTGACGAGTCGGTGCCCTACTACCGCCTCTTCCCCTACCGCACTGCCCCGCTCCCCCCCCCCGCCTCTCTTCCTCGCGCCAGGTGCTGCTGTGGTAGACCCCCTCCCCCCTCAGGGTGCCGCTCCCTCAGGTGTGTCCCAGGTAGACTCGGTTGAGCCTGTCGAGGTAGCTGTCGACTCTCATCCTGCGAGGGGTGCTGAGCCTGAGCGTGCGGAGCCTGGGGGTGCGGAGCCTGGGGGTGCGGAGCCTGGGGGTGCTGAGTCTGGGGGTGCTGAGACTGGGGGTGCTGAGACTGGGGGTGCTGAGTCTGGGGGTGCTGAGCCTGGGAGTTCTGCACCTGGAGGAGCTCTCTCCTCCGAGCAGCTGCGTGAGTGGTACTTGCAGTACTGCAGCCTCAGGCGAGGTGCTTCTGGCGCTCGGAGAGGTGCTGGAGCTGGTACTAGTGCTTCCCCAACCAGGCGGGCGCTGCCCTCTCCCCTGCAGCTCCGCGAGTGGTACGCTCGGCACTGCAGTCTCCGGAGTGGCGCTCCTTGCGTCGCGGACCCTGGTACTGCTGCTGGTGCTGCTGGTCCTGGTGCTGTTGGAGCTGCTGGTGGTGCTGCTGGAGCTGCTGGAGGTGCTGCTGCTGTTGGCGGTGCTGCTGGTGCTGCTGGAGGTGCTACTGGAGCTGCTGGTGGTGCTACTGGAGCTGCTGGAGGTGTTGCTGTTACTGGTGCTGCTGGAGGTGTTGCTGGTGCTACTGCTGCTGCAGCTGCTGGAGGTGCTGGTGCTGCTGGCGGTGCTGCTGGTACTGCTGGTACTGGTGCTGCTGGTGCCAGTACTGCTGGAGCTGCTGGAGGTGCTGCTGGTGCTGGAGCTGCTGGAGCTGCTAGTCCCGGAGGTGCTCGTACTGGAGGTACTGGAGCTGCTGGGACTGGAGCTGCTGAGGGGGTTGGAGCTGGAGTTGCTGAGCGGCCGCGGCCGTACTACGTTCCGCTCCTTCAGCAGGTTCTTGGTCTTCCGCCCTGTCCTGGTCCTACTCCTCCTTCCCTACTGAGTCCACCACCTGTCCAGTCGCAGTCACAGTTACAGCCTGCCTCTCCTCTGCCTGGTCCTTCTCCTTACACTGCGCCGACAGGTAGCTTTCCGGAGCGTCGTGAGTCTGAGTCTCGTCCTCCGTCGCCTGAGTCCAGTCCTGTGTCGTCTGAGTCTCGTCCAGAGTCGCCTGTCCGCACTGCACGCACTAGTCGTCGTGCTCCACGTGAGCGTCCTCCTCCTGTCCTAGGCACTCACTACATGACCCTGCGTCAGTCCACTGCTCCACAGCGCGTCCCTCTTCCGTCTCCTCCTGCGTCCTCTCTTCCTGACGTTGCCGACCCGCCGTCAGACCTTACTCGTGCTGCCAGTCCTACTGTCGCGCGTCTCCTTGCCACTGTTGTCACTGACCCTACCTTTGAGTCCTCTGCTGCGTCTGCTCTAGTCGCTGAGCTTGTTGACTTTGCTGCCGCTTGTCGTCTAGACTACGCCGCTAGCCTTGTCGCTGAGTCTGAGTCTGTCTGTCCTCTGTCCGTCGGGGGTGAGTGTGCTCTTGGCACGGACGTCCTTGAGGACAGACAGGAGGAGTTTCAGTGCTGTGCTGCTGCTTTACCTCATCTCGTGTCCATTCTGATTGCCCCTGAGGGAGACCCGGATGCACCAGACATCCCGACTCCACGCTCCTACGCAGAGGCGATGGAGGGTGAGTACTCCTCTCAGTGGCAGACAGCCATGGACGCAGAGATGGCTTCCTGGAAGTCCACAGGCACCTACGTCGACGAGGTTCCCCCACCTGGGGCGAACATCGTCAGTGGCATGTGGATTTTCAGGGTGAAGCGGCCGCCGGGTTCTCCGCCTGCCTTCAAGGCGCGTTACGTTGCACGAGGCTTCAGTCAGCGAGAGGGAGTTGACTTCTTCCAGACCTTCTCCCCGACCCCGAAGATGACCACTCTTCGGGTTCTGCTGCACGTCGCCGCTCAGCGTGACTACGAGCTCCACTGCCTTGACTTCAGCAATGCTTTCCTACAAGGCACCCTGCACGAGGAGATCTGGCTGCGCCGCCCACCTGGCTTCACTGGGTCGTTCCCTCCTGGTACCCAGTGGAGCCTCCGGCGGCCGGTCTACGGTCTCCGCCGGGCGCCACGTGAGTGGCACGACACACTGAGGTCTACTCTTGCTGCTCTTGGGTTTGCTCCTTCTACTGCTGACCCGTCGCTGTTTCTACGCACCGACACCACACTGCCGCCGTTCTACGTTCTCGTGTACGTAGACGACTTGGTCTTCGCTACTTCTGACACTGAGGCACTCGCCCACGTGAAGTCGGAGCTGCAGAAGAGACACACGTGCACAGACCTGGGTGAGCTGACAAGCTATCTTGGCTTGCGGATCACCCGGGACAGAGCACAGCGCACCATTACCTTGACTCAGTCACACATGGTGCAGCAGGTCCTTCAGCGCTTCCGCTTCACGTACTCCTCGCCTCAGCCCACTCCTCTGCCTACCGGTCACTCGCTCTCAGCTCTGCCTTCGGATGAGTCCGTAGAGCCGAGTGGCCCGTATCCAGAGCTGGTGGGCTGCCTCATGTACCTGATGACCTGCACTCGACCTGACCTAGCCTACCCTCTTAGCATCCTAGCACGCTATGTCGCTCCTGGCCGACACCGGAAGGAGCACATGGATGCAGCTAAGAGGGTGTTGCGCTACTTGTGCAGTACGTCGGGCATGGGGCTTGTGCTTGGAGGACGGCGCGACGTTGTCCTCACTGGACACTCAGACGCTTCTTGGGCTGACGACCAGGCTACTCAGCGGTCGTCTCAGGGTTACACCTTCAGCCTTGGCTCTGGCTCAGTTTCTTGGCGTTCTACACGCTCTTCCTCTGTTCTCAGCTCCAGTTGTGAGGCTGAGATCTACGCCACAGCCATGGCTGCACAGGAGCTACGCTGGCTTACCTACCTGCTGACTGACCTCGGAGAGTGGCCTAGTTCTCCTCCAGTGCTGTACGTCGACAACAAGGCAGCCATTGCCTTGTGTGAGGAGCACAGACTGGAGCACAGAACGAAGCACATCGCTCTGCGCTACTTCCTCGCTCGAGAGCTGCAGCAGCGTGGTCAGCTTCGTCTGCGTTACGTGGCCACTCGGGCCAACACAGCTGACGTGTTCACCAAGGCACTTCAGCCTTGTGACCATCAGCGTTTCTGTACTGTTCTAGGCCTTGTGCCTACTCTCCCTCACTTGCTCACTTCTTGACTCTGCTTGTACTGTGATCTCTATATATATACCTGCATGCCTTTACTTGCTAGGTTGTGATCACTGTACCTCTCGTTCTATTATCAAACTGCATGTGAACTGGTCTTGTGACCACTTGCTTGTGCTCGGAATTTGTGTGGTATCCTTGAGATCCACCATGAGCTTGCTTTGCTTTTCTTGACTGGTCTTGTGACCCCTTGTTCTCCCCCACTTTGCCTATGGGGGTGTGTCAAACTTATATGCTATAGCTTGTTTAGGCTGTAGTGGGTTAGACAATATGGGGTACAACACTTTAGGGTTTCACTACTTGTACCCAACTTCCTGCTAGTTCAATCATTCCTGTTTTGTACATTTGACAGCGCAATGATCAATTTAGTCACTCATGGGAAAAAACGTTTGCGACTGACTGATTTTCTGATTGTGTTGACCTTTGGACACAGGATAAGGTAAGCAACGACTGTACCGTAGAAAATATGATACCCGTATTTTAATGTCGCGTTTCGATTTATATTATTTCACTAGATGCTTATAACAAGCACCCGAGCCACCGCCAAGTGCTGCGACAGCATGTGCTGCCTTTGAGCGAATCCATCCTGGCTGTTGACTTTCACGTGGACCCTGTAGGGCGGGAGGAGAAGGTTTAGGAAGGAGCAGGTAACAAATTTGTTGGTTTGCCTTTTTAGAGGGATTTGGAGCAAAGATCAGGTTAGATACATTAGATTGATTGTGTACATGGCTATGTTATGCCCCATCATCACAATCATAGTCATCCTCACTATCATAGTTGACACAGTTTCTAAGGACGGGGGCATCCACAACAGCTTTTTGACAGGGGCCACTATCAACAGCAGCTGGTTTCTCCTGGCAGTTTACACCATGAGGTTCATCTTCATTGCTATCCGACTCTCCAGGGTGCTGGCCATCGGTACAATCATCCTTGTTGCATGCTGTATCTTCAGGTGGCTCTGCATTTAAAGCCCAAAGCCCGAATTACAAAGTCAAAAGCAAACTGGTGACACTGTGCCTCCCGCACCTTCCTCTGCCGAACCACGTCGAGGGTTCCCCACCTGCTTGGTTACCATGCGTTGGCCTGTGCGAGTTTCGACAAGCCCAGAATGAGTCTTGCAGCACAACCCCTTCGAAAATACGAGCACGCAGGGGTAGGCTATTAGGAAAGCCCAGCCTACGTGCTTGTAATTCGGGTTTCCAAATCGACGTCAGTCTCTGCCCATGCTCTCCCGCTGTTCCCATCTCTTTACCGATGAGAGGAAACCCCGCAATCTGTGTATTTTACCCGAGCGCCGCGACAAAGATCGGCGGAAGTGGAAATCGCGCAGACGACATTTCCCCTGCAGAGACAAGGTTATTGGGGGAAATAGTCCCGTGGACGAGCCTTGCGCGGCGTACGGCGGATAGGAGAGGGCGTTAGGCACGCGCAGTAGTGCGTTGTTCCGCGCACGGCGGAACCACGCGCGTTGAGAGATCTATCGGGCGCTGTAGGCCGGGCCGGAGGGATGGTAGCGCGGGGGCGGAGGTCGAAAGGGGGAGGGCGAGGGTTGTTGCCGGCAGACGGCGATAAATCTAACCAGTCCTTACATCTGCTATCCCGAATATCCTGTCTAACCTAGATTGAATAACTCACTCGACAGTGCAGCCGCTCCCTTCATCAAACTTCCCTTGCCCCCCAACAGTCGCAGTGAAATTTGATTCCGACTTGCATGAAGCAAGGTGGCCAGCAGCGCCGTGCTTTCCAATTTCCGCGCTAGCGCGCACCTCCCCACCATCGCAGCGCGATCTCAACTTCTTGAATGTGCTGCTGCCGCGTAAGATCCGCCGGTTGCCCTCCCTTGTTCCCGTCGCTCTCCCTTCCCGTCGCTCTCCCTTCCCGTCGCTCTCCCTTCCCGTCGCTCTCCCTTCCCGTCGCGCTCCCTTCCCGTCGCGCTCCCTTCCCGTCGCCCCGTGGGCGCCCCTCTGCCTCCCTTCCCGTCGCCTTCCCTTCCCGTCGCCTACCCTTCCCGTCGCCCGAGCTTCTGTTCCGTCGCCGTCCGTTCGTCTCGTCGCCCTCCCTTCCGCTCGTCCGATCCTCTCCCCGTCAATTCTCTCTCCGTCGCCCTCGCTTTCCCCGTCAATTCTCTCTCCGTCGCCATTGCTTTCCCCGTCAATTCTCTCTCCGTCGCCCTTGCTTTCCCCGTCAATTCTCTCCCCGTTGCCCTCGCTTTCCCCGTCGCCCTCGCTTTGCCCGTCGCCCTGCCATCCACTGCTCGTCGACCTCGCCTTCCCTCCCGCCTCCCTTCCCACCTCGCACACGTGTCACCCTACGTTTTCTCCCCCTACTCCCTCTTATCCCTCCCGCTAATAATCGCCTTCCTTCCCCCCCCTTCCCTGCTTTTTCCCATCCCCTTCCCTGCTTTCCCGCATCCCGTGCCCTACTTTCCCCCCTTCCCTGCCCTGCTTCCCCCCATCCCCTTCCCTGCTTCCCCATGTCCATTGCCTTGCTTCTTCCCATCCCCTTCCCTGCTTCCCTACATCCTCACGCCTGCTTCCCCCCATCCCCCTCCCTGCTTCCCCCCATCCCCCTCCCTGCTTCCCCCCATCCCCCTCCCTGCTTCCCCCCATCCCCCTCCCGAACTCCCCCCATCCCCCTCCCTGCTTCCCCCCATCCCGTGCCCTGCTTCCCCCCATCCCGTGCCCTGCTTCCCCCCATCCCCTTCCCATGCTCCCCCCATCCCCTTCCCTCCGCGTCCCCCCATCCTCTTCCCTGCTTCCCCCCATCCCCCTCCCTGCTTCCCCCCATCCCCCTCCCTGCTTCCCCCCATCCCCCTCCCGAACTCCCCCCATCCCCCTCCCTGCTTCCCCCCATCCCGTGCCCTGCTTCCCCCCATCCCCTTCCCATGCTCCCCCCATCCCCTTCCCTCCGCGTCCCCCCATCCTCTTCCCTGCTTCCCCCCATCCCTCTCCCTGCTTCCCCCCATCCCCCTCCCTGCTTCCCCCCATCCCGTTCCCTGCTTCCCCCCATCCCCCTCCCTGCGTCCCCCCATCCTCTTCACTCTCTCCCCTTCCCTGCTTCCCCCCATCCTCTTACGCGCGTCCCCCCTTCCCCTTCCCTGCTTCCCCATGTCCCCTTCCCTGCTTCCCTCTTACTTGCTTTCCCATGTCCCCTTCCCTGCTTCCCCCCATCCTCTTACTTGCTTCCCCATGTCCGGTTACCTGCTTCCCCCCCTCCCGTTCCCTTCTTCCCCATGTCCCCTCACATGCTTCCCCATGTCCCCTTCCCTGCGTCCCTGCAGTCCATTCAGGCCAATGCACTCCCCCCACCTCCTTCTATCTGCATCCCCTCACATCCCCCTCCCCATCCCCCTCCCCGCCACCAGGCGCGCGCCCTGCTAGCATGCCATCGGTCGCCGCGCTTCCGTGGCACCTCTGTGGCGCGCACATCGCCCTGTGACGCTGGCTACTACACCGCACATCACCGTCAGCTGCTATCCATTGATGGTGGGTGCGTGGGTGCGTGCGTGCGTGGGTGGGTGGGTGGGTGGGTGGGTGGGTGGGTGGGTGGGTGGGTGGGTGGGTGGGTGGGTGGGTGGGTGGGTGGGTGGGTGGGTGGGTGGGTGGGTGGGTGGGTGGGTGTGTGCATGTCTATGTGCATGCATGTCCACGTGTATGCTCTGCTATGTGCATGAATATCTACGTGCATGCATGTCTATGCTCATGAATCACGGCATGTGCATGCATGTTTATGAGTGTGCATGTCTATGCCCACTCTTGTCCATGTGCATGCTTTTCCATGTGCATGCTTTTCCATGTGCCTGCTTGTTTGCTTAATCTCACTGCCATGCTTGCCCTCACTGCCATGCTTGCCCTCACTGCCATGCTTGCCCTCACTGCCATGCTTGCCCTCACTGCCATGCTTGCCCTCACTGCCATGCTTGCTGCATCCCTGCAGGGTCTCCTCGCCCGCCACCCCACTTTGCTCTCCCGTCTGCTGCCACTTCTGCCAGTGCGCTCCTCGCTCTTCCTGCTGCCCATTTATTCCCGCCCCGCTACTTACCCTCACCCCGCTGCGTTCAGGACAGAGTCTATTCCCCCTCTGCTTCCCCCCTTCCCCTCCACAGTCTAGTGCACATGGTGGGGGCATGACAGGGTGGGGGGATGCTTCGCTACTTAGGAACATGCACTAGCGATCCGCCTCCCTGCACCATTCCCTACCTCTTCCCCCTCCACTACCCCCCCTTCCCCTTAGTGCTGAATCTCGCATCCCTCCTGCTGCTCCCTCCTCTTTGTCCTCCAGCAATCTCGTGGAACACACTCCAACCCCCTGGCACCCGTCGCACACTCCGTGTACTACCCACTACGCCTCAGATCTCAGCAGCATCTCATCCTCCATCTACTTGGTGTTAGGTTGGAGGGGATGGTACAAAGAGGAGGGGGAGAGCGCCGAATGTGCGAAGAGCGGAAGGTGAGTGGTACCACATCTCCCATGTACCACCTCCCCCCGGTATCACCTCCCCCAGGTGCCACCTCCCCTAATAACAACAACACCGTAATTGGGATCTCCCGCGCTGATCACCTTCATGCGTCTGCGCCACGTTTTTTCGGTACGGCTCACCTCCTCGTCACATGCACCACGTGCTGCCACCCAACACAATAGCCCCTCTCTCCCTCACGCACACTCTCTCTGCCAGTCCAAACACATGTCGTGCCCAGCCATCATAGCATTGGAGTCAGTACACACCACCACAGCACATGCACCCTAAAACCCTCCTTCCCCTTCCCCTCTCCCTTCACCCCTTTCCTCGCTGTCTCCACACGCCCCCCTCAGTCCACGCACATGTCGCACATGTCCTCTTCAACATCAATTCATCTCCTCGCAGCCTTCGCACACTACTCCGTGTACTACTCCTTGCACCTCATATTGCAGCAGCATCTCTTCCCATGGCAGGTGCTGAGTTGGAGGGGATGGTAATTCAGTTTGCTTGGGGGGGAAGAGCATTGAATGTGCGAGAAGGGCCAGGGATGTGGCACAACTATGGCATACGAGTCTGGCGGGTTCTCACACGCCATCACACTGCTGCCCTCGTTGCCCCATTCCAATGTCCTTTTCCCCCTTGAACACCCCCACCCCCCCCTTCCCCCTCCTCCCCACCAGCAGGCGAAGACGGAGGTGGAGGTGTACCTGCTGCTGCTGGACGACCAGCTCGACGCCCTCGAGAGCTTCCCCGAGCTGCTCACCGCCATGCGCACCGCGCTGGGCTGCCGCTGGCACCCGACGAGTACCTGGCGCGGCGGCGCATCATCCCATCGCCCCGGAGCTTCTAGGGGCTAAACAGGGGCAGGAGCAACGCGCGCCCCACGGCCTTCACGGCGGACAGCAGCAGCAACAAGACGCTGTCGTTTGGCAAGGGGCGCGTGATGAGGGTTGGCAGCAGCTCCATGCTCCAATCATTAAAGGATGACACTTCACACCCAGCTCCCAGATTGATTAGCTGAGTTGTAACGCGGCGGACCATGCAATGTATGTGTTGTAAACTTGAATGTTTCAGCCTGTCAATTGACAGTTGGACCCAGTTGTTACGATGTCCAAACCTGAACCCAGTCTTTTTCAATAAGTAGCTGGCCCAGGTATTTAATCAACTCCGAAAAGAACTTTGTGTTAGCTCCGTTTTGATTAGGGCCAGCCTGGCAAACTCATCGAGGCTAACCATAGACCTCTCGTACTAATTACAGGAGACGAAGGTGCTTAAATCTGTTTTCCACTGTATGCACAAGCTGGCCTGCAGTCCATCTTTCCACACAAGTGACACAAGTGAACTGCTGGGTCTGTTTTCCATTGTATGCACAAGTCCATCTTTCCACACAAGTGATGGCAGCTGCAGCAGCCTCGCTGGCAGCCAGTCCCCCCGCTGCCATGAGCGTTACAAAGTCCGCCTGATCTTCGCATGCACTGCCTCCTTTGCCCGCACCTCCCCATTCCCTGCTGCTGCTGCTGATGATGCTGATGCTAACACTGCTGATGCTACTACTGGTGCTCATGCTGGTACTGCTACTGTTTGAAGTTGCTGCTGCCAGTGTTGAAGTTCCTTGTGCAGCGTCAGCGGCGCTGAGGGGAGAGCAGCGCAAGCAGGGACAGCGGGACGGGGATGAGGATGAGGGGTGCCACACGGGCAAGGTGTAGTACAGCGGTGGACGCACACAGGCATAACATCAACATCACGGATGCCGAGAGGCCGAAATAGGAGGGGATGCGACAGCGAGGCCGCAGTGACGTATCGAGCAGGGCGCCCTGCGGGCTGGTGAGGATGTGGCGGGGGAGGTCAAGGTGTCGGTACTCGGTGCCGTACGCCAGGATAGCTTGCGAGGTGTCATGCACGCGGACGCTGGCAGGCTGGGCGCCACACAGGCCAGTGTGCCACAATGAGCCCTGTGGCTTCTATGCCGTCAAGCTCCGGCATCTGGCGAGCGGGCGAGGGGAGAGAGAGGACGGGAGGGGAGGCGAGGGGAGGCGAGGGGAGGCAAGTGTGCACGCATGCAATGCCTATCTAGTGTTGACAGCAAAGTGTGGCGATGCGGGGCGTGGCCTCTACGTGGTTGAGCATTGGCATCTGCAGGGGGGCAGTTTGAGGGAATGCGCGTTGAGCCATGCATGCAGACGAGCGTGCAAACACTCAGTGATACGCATATGCACGCATGAGCACGCACAAGCATGCACGCGTTCATGCCCCCACCTGCAGGGTCGCACGTCCATGAGCACGAGGTCGAAGGGTTGTGCCTGCATATGGAGAATGGCCACATGACCGTTGCTGGCCAAGGTGCGCTCATACCATGTGACATGCTATGCCATGCCATTGTCAACCCACTCTGAACCCAAGACACAGTCTACCACACATGAGACTCGGAACCCGATGCCCCGTTCCCAACAACTCTCCGAATACCTCCCTTTTTGTTTTTTTCCCACTTTGGAAAGTCAATTTTCACCCCTTGCAATGTGCTATCATTACGGGCTAGTAAATTCTCCACTGTCATCACACCATCCCCCATCCGTGTCCAAAAAGCACTCGACATAGCGCCAAGGTGCATTTTCACAACCTCGCCTGCGTCTATTCCCCCGGGTCCTGCACGATAAAAAGGACAATTAATGTTGGGCAAATTTATTTCAAATCCGTGCATTCTACAACAGCCACAACGATATTGTGCATCTCACACAAATTTACCTGCATCCTGTGCAGCTCGTATCAAACGCTCCGTTACATGGGGTGCTGCCAACATGTAGAGCGCAAGAAGATCATTGAATGAGCACGCGCTTTCCGTACTCGGCAAAAGAGCAGTTAGCCCCACGCGAAGGAAACAAACAGGGGCTTTGAGTTGCCAATGGACACTATGTTGACGCTGGTCATACAATCGGCACAGCTCTGATGGTGTTGGATCCGCCATCCGTCCTGGTTTCATCGGCCATTCAATGCATACAATATTTGGTCATTGAGAGGGGGTAAGTATATATGACATAGGGATTGAATCACGGCATGGGTACAGCATAATATTGCATTGTTGGGAGGACATGAGTGGATTAGTGTTGCTATATTGATAAAAAATGCCTATGTTATGCCATATGAACACACTATCAAAATGCCAGCCCATGCGGACACACCATGCCACGCTATGCCATCTTGACTACACCATCACCATGCCCTGTTGACCAGGCTGAGACTAAGAGTTAGAGGGCTGCCAGATCAGAGATGGTTTCGGGGTTGGAGCCGGATGCATGGTCCCCCATGCTACTCCACCTAAGGTCCCGGACATGACATAGGGGAGTTGGATTGGGAGGAGCACAGGGGAGCTGGGTTGGGAGGAGCACTGGGGAGCTGGATTGGGAGGAGGGTGGAGCACGATTGAAGGGATCGAGGCGAGAGCAGGGAGCAAGGGGGAAATTGAAGCGAGCAGGGGAAAAATGGAAGAGAGCGGGGGGGAAACTGCAGTGAGCGGGGGGAAGATGAAGAAAGCAGGGGGAACATGAAGAAAGCAGGGGGGAAACTGAAAAAAAGCAGGGGGGGGATGAAGAAAGCAGGGGGGAGATGAAGAAAGCAGGGGGGAAGATGAAGAAAGCAGAGGGGATATGAAGAAAGCAGGGGGAAACTGAAGAAAGCAGGGGTGAGATGAAGAAAGCAGGGGGAATATGAAGAAAGCAGGGGGAGATGAAGAAAGCAGGGGGAATATGAAGAAAGCAGGGGGGAAGATGAAGAAAGCAGAGGGGAGATGAAGAAATATGGGGGGAAACTGAAGAAAGCAGGGGGGAGATGAAGAAAGCAAGGGGGAGACGAACCATGCAGGGGGGAGATGAAGAAAGCAGGGGGGAGATGAAGAAAGCAGGGGGGAAGATGAAGAAAGCAGAGGGGAGATGAAGACATATGGGGGGAAACTGAAGAAAGCAGGGGTGAGATGAAGAAAGCAGGGGTGAGATGAAGAAAGCAGGGGAGAGATGAAGAAAGCAGGGATGAGATAAAGAAAACAGGGGGGAAACTGAAGGAAGCAGGGGGGAGATGAAGAAAGCAGGGTGGAGTGACGAAGAAAGTAGGGGGAGATGAAGAAAGCAGGGGGGAAGATGAAGAAAGCAGGGGGGAGATGAAGACATATGGGGGGAAACTGAAGAAAGCAGGGGTGAGATGAAGAATGCAGGGGTGAGATGAAGAAAGCAGGGGGGAAGATGAAGAAAGCAGAGGGGATATGAAGAAAGCAGGGGGAAACTGAAGAAAGCAGGGGTGAGATGAAGAAAGCAGGGGTGAGATGAAGAAAGCAGGGGGGAGATGAAGAAAGCAGGGTGGAGACGAAGAAAGCAGGGGGAGATGAAGAAAGCAGGGGGAGATGAAGAAAGCAGGGGGGAAGATGAAGAAAGCAGAGGGGAGATGAAGAAATATGGGGGGAAAATGAAGAAAGCAGGGGGGAGATGAAGAAAGCAAGGGGGAGACGAACCATGCAGGGGGGAGATGAAGAAAGCAGGGGGGAGATGAAGAAAGCAGGGGGGAAGATGAAGAAAGCAGAGGGGAGATGAAGACATATGGGGGGAAACTGAAGAAAGCAGGGGTGAGATGAAGAAAGCAGGGGTGAGATGAAGAAAGCAGGGGAGAGATGAAGAAAGCAGGGATGAGATAAAGAAAACAGGGGGGAAACTGAAGGAAGCAGGGGGGAGATGAAGAAAGCAGAGGGGAAACTGACGAAAGCAGGGGGAATATAAAGAAAGCAGGGGTGAGATGATGAAAGCAGGGGGGAAACTGAAGAAAGCAGGGGGGAGACGAAGAAAGCAGGGGGGAGATGAAGAAAGCAGGGGGAATATGAAGAAAGCAGGGGTGAGATGAAGAAAGCAGGGGGAATATGAAGAAAGCTGGGGGTACCCTGAAGACAGCAGGGGGAGTTGAGCACGGGGAAAACCGAAGAGAGGAGGGGGGAATCTCAAGGGTGCTGGGGGGAAACTGAAGAGAGCAGGGGGGGAAGAGGAGAGAGAAGGGGCAAATTGAAAAGAGAGCAGGGGGGATTTCACGTTTCACGTTTCTCTTCTTCCTATCGCGCCTCACGTTTCCCCTCCTATCCCCTTCCTCAGCACCTGCGCCTCACGTTTCCCCCACTCTCTTGTACCTCTCACATCCACCTCACGTTTCCCCTCCTCTCTTCTTTCATTCGCATGCGCCTCACGTTTGATCTCCGAGCCCCTTCCTCTCGCGTGCGCCTCGCGTTCCCCCCCCCTCTCTGCTTCCCCTCGCATGAGCCTCACCTTTCCCCTCCTCTTTTCTTACTCTCGCACGCGCCTCACGTTTCCGCTCAACATCTCTCCCCCTCTCATGCGCCTCAAATTTCCCCTCCTCTCTTCCTCCTCTCTCATGCGCCTGACGTTTCCCCTCCTCTCTTCATCCTCTCTCATGCGCCTGACGTTTCCCCCCCTCTCCCCTTCCTCAGGCATGCGCCTCACATTTCCCCTTCTCTCTTCTTCCTCTCTCATGCGTCTGACGTTTCCCCTCCTCTCCTTTTCCTCTCACATGCGCCGTCCGGTTACTCGTCCTCTCGTCCTCCTCTTTACTGCGTCTCACGTTTCCCCTCCTCTCTTCCTCCTCTCTCATGCGCCGGACGTTTCCCCTCCTCTCTTCTTCCTCTCGCATGCACCTCTCGTTTCCCCTCCTCTCTTCTTCCTCTCGCATGTGCCTAACTTTTCAAACCCTCTCTTCTTCCTCTCGCATGCACCTCACGTTTCCCCTCCTCTCTTCTTCCTCTCGCGTGAGCCTCGCGTTTCCCCCCCTCACTTCTTCCTCTCGCATGGGCTTCACGTTTCCCCTTGCCTCTTCT